ACCCTAAACCCCAAACCGAAACCCTGGTTTGACTGCTCAAGGCCCGCTGCCCCGGCAGACGGGGCCGAGAAGGAGGCCGCAGAGGGCAGCTTTGCTGCGAGCGGAGCCGAGGGGCTTTGGGTTTTGGGACCAGAGAATTGGGATTTTGGTGGGCTTGGGATGCGTGACAGTTCTAAGTAGCACAAGATAGTAAGTTGGAAGCTCGCGTGGCATATAGGGCCCAGGCGCTTGACGGTTTGGGGGGTAATATATTCAGCAGTTCACCGTGCCGTTCGAGCGGCCCCCATTGGTGAAGCCCCTAGGCCTCATTCTGGAATCGCATTCCCCCATGCACAGCACTTGCACAGCTCGAATGCTGAGAATACGAGTAAGAACTATAATAACAATACATACTAATTATAATGATAGCCATAATAATACTAGTAATAATAACAGTAATAATAATAATAATAGCAATGATAATCGTAAAGAATGAAACAATAAATACTAATACTAAAAATAATACTGGTAGTAAACATACTATTAACAACAAAAATAACACTTATAGCATCACTAATAATAACAACAACATCAACAGTAAAAAACAAATCACTAGTAGTTCCTGATGTAGTAGTAATAGTACTCACAACAGTTAAGGTCCCCGATTTTGCCTCGGACCTAAGAGCCTGACCTCCCGACCCTAAACCCTAAACCCTAAACCCTAAACCCTAAACTCTAAACCCTAAACCCTAAACCCTAAACCCTAAACCCTACACCCCGACGCCCAGCCAAGGCACCGATGCGGTGCCAGCGGCAGCACCGACAGAGGAAGCACCTCCCTTCGCCAGCGTTGCCCGTAGCAGCTGTACAGTCCAAAGTTTTCAGAAATCTGAGTAAGTTTTCAGAAATCGGGGGATACTTTTTGGCGGAGGAAAGTTTACGGAAGATTTTGGGGACATCTCCTCTACCTACCCTTAGCCCGGTACTCTGGTGAGCCCTTTTGAACATCGGAAGGGTTTGAAAAAAGATGGAAATCCTTGAAATTACATGCCAGATCGACCCGCTCCGTCTGCGAACGGATGCGAACTCTCCGAGAACCTTCTAAGTCCCTAGTAGCCTAACCCTGCTATACCTCAACTTCGCCCGCTATGGTCCGTAAATTAAACACCAGGCTCAACATAATTGGACGGTTAAATACCCAAGATCCTATTCTACTTATTGTGGACGGTTTCATCAAACCATGTACAGATATTTATAGGCGGCTGCCAAGCCTCTCACGACCCTATATTCTAACTAGTGAGGCCCCTTTCAACCTTGCACTTCGGATCGCTCATGGCTGAGGTCGGACAGAAATCGTGAGTAAAGTACTATCACGATGGGGACGAGGGCTCAGGGACCAACATGTAGAGTTGCAGGGCAGTTCCCGCAACCCAGGGCCGGGGATCTTATGAGAGCTGCAACTTCCAACATGGAGTTAGTCTGAAGCGAACTTCGAGCTCGTGTACAGGGTTTAGGGTTCAGGGTTCAGGGCCTAGGGCTAAAGGCTTAAAAGTAGCGCTTAGGGCTTTTAGGGTTTAGGGTTCAATGTTTAGGGTTTAGGGTCTACCCTAAACCCTAA